TATAAACATTCTCAGAAATCACATTTTTTATATATAATACAATAAATAATTTCATCTTAAGATTAATAAATACTTCCTTTTTAGTATTAAAAAGTTTTTCTCTTGAAGTAATACTTTGTCATATGGCACTTACAAAGAGTTATTAAAATAAATAAACTGTATAAAGGAAAACATATGACTAAAGCCCCCTTTCTCTAAAAAAATACCACACTGTTTAATACAGAAAATGAAATATGCAGTTAAATGTTACGACATTTCGAGGAACAGCAAAATATTTCACAGCTTAGTATTTAAAATTAAATCTAACATGAAAATTTTATTTTTAATGTTAGTATAGTATAAAATAAAATCAGTTTAAAATCTAACATTTTATGCATCATTAAAGTATATATTACAGAGTCAAGTTATAATGCAATCTGCTTTTTACATATTAAGCATTCAGTTAAAAATATATAATTTTCCAATATTAGACAGATGAGCATTTAGCTTAAAAATAATATATTTTCCTAATATTAGATGCACAGATCACTATTTTCTTATATAATAGTATACCTGCAGACTGTATAGAAAGTGGTTACTCGCCTTGTTATTTGTATGAATCATTAGTTTAATTTTCTAGTGCATTCAAATTTGAACTTAATATAGCTGAGTTAATTTAAATCAAAAGTATAAAATTTAGCCAAACTAAATTAGAAAAGGAGTTTATATTAACAGTTTCAGAGGTAGAAATAAATTTGATATAGGCCAGTAATGTAAATGCAATGTTTACTTGCTCACAGCATTATGTTATTTACATATTATCCCATTAACCATGACAGTTGGCAGAAATCCCACTAAATTTGCACCAATCATTCATTGTTTTGTTTTTGCATTACATACAAAAAGTTTTCGTCAATTTCTACTACTATTTTATTAACCTCTCTGATTTTACCATAAGCTCTTTTAGAATGCTAAACTTCCCTCAGGTAACACTTTCAGTCTATTTTTGTGTTGTTGACTGTATTTAGATGATCATAATGTGTCCATTAATATACACTTTTTTTTAATGGCTGGAACCCATGACTTTAAAAAATTATTCATTGCTTAAAGGCTGGTGCCAAAATGTTTTCCAACCCCCCCAAAATGCAAGAAAAATATAACAATGACAGTTAATTTATATGTTTGTTCATGTAAACAAAAATGTGAATTTTAAGAACGGACCAGGGCTACATCAAATAAAAGTGCAGGTGTTACGACTGAGTTGTGACATCATGCTTATCCATAACTGGCACCAGATCACATTGCTTGGCAACATTTTCATTGTTGATGGAATAATATGCAAGTACCTGCAAAACTATCAGTAATGATCAACTTTAACTTTGTGAATCTTCCATTAATTAATTATCATTTCACCATTTATTTTCAAACACCTAGATGCCTTTTAGATAATAAAATAAAATATGCTAGAAATTATTTGACTATAGTTAAAGATTTGTAATAATATTTTTACAGGGGGAAAATGCATAGAAAAGTCTAAAAGGAAGTTATAAAAATAAATTTCAGTAGATTCAACAGAAGTGAAACTTTATTACTTAGGTGAGAATTAGCAGACTTTTAATATCCTTATTCTAAGAATTCATATTTAAAATTTTATACATAGTTTTTTCAAAATTCCATTTTTGCCCATCCATTTTTCAATGAAAATATTATCATATGTTACGAGGGCCATCCAGGAAGTAGATTACGTTTCCGTCTGTGTCCGCTAGGGGCGGGGCTAGCGCGGCCATCTTGGGGTCAGAGCGTTGCGCAGCTCAGTCTGCATCTAGCCGTGCTAGTGAGAGGTTCGTGCTGTGCTCCGTTCAGATACTGTGACGGTTTGAAATGTCTGCGTTAATTGAAAATCCCGCGAGCTGCGAGGTGCGCTCAGTAATAAGGTTTCTGACTGCAAAAAACTGTAAACCGATAGAAATCTATCGGCAGCTTCGTGAAGTGTATGGGGACAACATTATCACTGAAGGTGGAGTGCGTCAGTGGGTCATAAGATTTCAAAATGGCCGAACCAATGTTCACGACGAAGATCGAAGTGGGAGACCCAGCATAGTTGACCGCCGAACTTCTCGAAAAAGTCGATGCTAAAGTCCGTGAAAATCGAAATTTCACAATAACGGAACTTTCTTTGAGTTTTCCACAAATTTCGCGAAGTTTGTTGCACGAAATCATCAGCGAAAAGCTTGGTTACCACAAGTTTTGTGCAAGATGGATTCCAAAAAATCTTGACAGAGGACCACAAAAATCAGCGAATGGCTGCAGCGTTGAACTTTTTGGACGCTTACCATAAGGATGGTGACTCTTTACTCGATCGCATCGTTACTGGTGACGAAACATGGGTGAAACATGTGAACTGTGAAACGAAATTGCAATCAATGCAGTGGGGGCACACAAGTTCTCCCCAAAAACCCAAGAAATGCATGCAAACAATGTCAGCAAGGAAGATGATGGTGACTGTTTTTTGGGACAGAAAAGGTGTAATTTTTTTGACTTCCTGGAAAGAGGCACTACAATAAACTCTCAAAGGTATTGCCAAACTCTCCAAAAACTCAGAAGAGCAATTCAAAACAAGCGCAGAGGAATGTTGAGCTCTAAGATCTTGTTGATTCACGACAACGCCCGGCCCCACACGGCAAATGTCACTCGTAAAGTTCTTGAATCTTTTAAGTGGGAGTTGTTTCCTCATCCGCCGTACAGTCCTGACCTGGCACCGATCGACTTCCACCTATTTCCAGCAATGAAGAAGTGGCTGGCTATGCAGCGTTTTGATGACGACGCACAGCTGCAAGAAGAGGTAACGAAGTGGTTGAAGGCGCAGGCGGCCGAATTTTTCGACGAAGGAATTTCCAAGCTCGTACATCGCTACGATAAATGCCTTAATTTGTATGGTGACTATGTAGAAAAGTAGTATTTGAGTGTGGCTTTCATCTGTATATAATAAAAATTGTTTCCTATACTTTGTTTATTTTTTTATTCCAAAACGTAATCTACTTTCTGGATAGCCCTCGTATTATATTTGGTTATATATTGAAAATATTATTATATTAGTTAATATAAGTCAAGAGAAATCAGGATTTATTCCATATAACTTACATAGTGAAATCAAGTAAGAAAATGATAAAGATATCAAAATATATGCTTCTAAACACAGACAATTTAAATACGAATTTTTAATTTTTTTTTTTTTAAGAAATTATAAATATATCAGAGCATGCAAGTTTTAGCCGATTATTTGCTCAAAAGTATAAACAGAATATATAACTTTTAAGAATTAAAACTTGTGTAAGATTCTATTTGTTATACTTGATGCACAAATAAAAAACAAAAAAGTTATATTTGAGCAATAAATATTAAAATTACATTAAATTTATTAAAAAAAACATATAAAACTATTTCGTATTATGCTAGTAATGCATACATACATTATTATGGGGTTAATTAAACATTTTGAAATAATAAAATGTATACTGAGTCTAAATTAACATGACATAGTATTAATACATGAATTAATTTAATAATGTACTTCCAAAAAATGCTTCTTAATTTACTAATTCATTGCTCATGTTTTAATGGTTATATGTGTATGTCACAGTATAAATCAATAAATCTACATTTATTTGATATTTTAAAACTTCCACAGCTATTCAATGATAAAAACGTTTCTAACAATGACATTTGATAAAATATAATGCTGTCCGTTTAGGCTAAACAAGGCCAATGGTTTCAGTCTCATCATAAAATTAAATTTCTTTGAACTTTAATTTCAGGAGCATACATGCATAACAATATTATCCACAATAATTCACAGTGGGATAATGAGAGTGAAAGCATTTAAAACACTTTCAGTCTATTTTTGTTTTGATAAAAGTAAGCTTCACCATCATTGCATTATTAGTGATTCAGGAAGCCTGCCTTAAAGACAACAAAATTTTGTCTTTTACTTGATGAAAGTTCTAACCTGAAAAGACCTTTGCAGATGTTTTAGTTGTAATTAAGTTGATAAACAAGACTGCTTCCAAGAGATATGGCATTTATCTCACAACAGTCCATAAATTATTTTAATATTAATTACTATTAAATATATATTTTCCATTCCAATACGTATTTCATTTGAATACACCATTTATAGTAATAGAATATACTTGACTAATTTGTAACATTTAAAATTTTTTTTAAATTTCCAATAAGTATTTAATTAGTTAAGCTTTATTTGATCAAAAAATTATAGCTTCAAAATATCTCACTTAATTAGAACTGACTGCTTTTGGGGATTTATTATAGCTTCTATTTAAATCATTTGCCTCTATTTCTGATGATCTTATTTAGTAATAATGAATATTTTTATACTGAGTAATGCAGTATGAATGAGGATATACACTGCATACACAGTATAAGGCAACCTGTAATGGCATTATTAAAAACAATGTTCATATGACAATATCAAAATACAATATTGTAAATCATTTCAAGATCTGGGGAGAAAACATTATAAAACAACAAGGCTGATTATCTCAAGTATCACCATGAATAATGTAGTTAATCAAATAGCTTAATGATCGAAATTTGTGAACAGCTTTACTAAATAATTATGTGCAATAAATTTTGACTACCAGTGAAATTGTATATTCATTATGAAAATCCTTGCACAGAAAAAGGTTTAAGAAAGCATGAGATGGCAGGTGATGTTTTGAAAATGTACATTTTACAAAATAGTTAATATTAAAATTGTATTACTTTATCTCCTTCAGTGGAGATAACATGAGCATACCAGTAAACAACATGTCTCTACTAAAAGGTAGTTTCTTTGCATGCATTTGTAACAATTAAAGTTTGCAGCAAAGCATTTATAATAAACTTTCTATTTAACAACATTTCTTTCTAAAATTTACATAAATTTACAAGGCACTGATTATTGGATATTTCAGTTAACTAGTATAAGACTATCACACTTTGCTTGGAAATTAAAAACACACTAATCATTGAATATGAGGTTTATCACACATGCTTGAAACTGTGAAAGCAGTCTTTTAACTAAATTATTTAAGTATTATTTAAACACCTCAGTCTGTTCCTTCTTCATGAAACACGATGAAATAACATTTTTGATTGGCACTATTTGTTTTTAAACACAATGCTTTACTACATCACTCATGTTTTTATAAGCACATTTTTTACAGTTTTAAGTTTATCAATTCGTTTTTGTAGATGTTCATTAGCAGTTTCTAATTCTTCTACTCTTGCTTGTGCTTCTCGAAGCTGAAACAAAATAAAAATACTTAAATTCTAAGTAATTTAAAATACAAGAAAGAAGAACAAATGAAGAATTTTTACAGTGTTAAAAGGAACAGCATGTTTTGAAGGCTCTCCATTACAAAAATGTCAGTAACATTTAATTTTACAGTTTATATACATGATAGCAATGAAGTTTAAGAAAATGTATGCAAAAACAATAACTTTATTTTATAGAAAGGAATACTTATATAGGAGTTGGAGAAAAAATACAAAAATTGTAAGCTTTGTTCGTGAGTGTTGATCTTCAATTGTTATTAGTAATTTTGTTAATATCGTGGAGAGTCTATCAATGTCAGACTTAGAGTTACAACACCTGCAGGAGACCATTATTTAGCTCTTTTGGAATGAAGGAGGAGTAACATTACTGTGCATCAACTCATGGCAAATTATTTAGTGGCAACAGGAACAAGAATCTCAGCTACTACAGTGTGCAGATGCCTGCACAATACAGGTCTGTATGCAAGACGAGTCGTCTTAGACGACCAGGTGTTTGTGTCCACTTGACCCGAGGACACTGAGGTGCCTGTTTATGTTGGGCAAGAGAATACATGTCTTGGACCAGTAAACAATGGGCATCTGTTTTCTTCACAAACAGAGAGTAATTCAGGTCATCACCTGATCGGGAGGAAACAGCGCACCAGATACAACCAATCCCACATTGTGGGAAGACAGAGTTACAGAGGCGGTGGAATAATGGTTTGGCCTGGGATATCTCTCGGTGGTCACACTAACCTGCATGTGTTCCAGTGAGATATCGAGACAAGATTCTTGACCAATATGTCTGCCCATATATGCTGCTGCCATTGTTCCTGGATTTCTTCTGATGGACGACAATGCACTGAGCTCGGTTTGCTGAAGAATATCTTGAGGGTCACGGTATGGAGTGGACGGAGTGGCCAGCTCAATCTCCAGACCTGAATCCAATACAGCATCTTAAGGCAAGGATTACCTTGGGAGAAGGTTGCTGCTTTAAGTCTTCCTCCAATGTTGTTAGATGAGCTTGAACAAGGATTATTCCGTGCTTGGTTGTTGCCACCCATTTCACTGACTGACAACTTGACAGCATGAAACATTGCTGCCAGCAATGTATTGCAGCTAGGGGTGGACACATTCCTTATTAGAACCCATTTTTTCTCAAAAAACTATGATATACTGTTTCTCCAAGACTGGATTTCTCTGCCAAGAGTGAAGTTTTTTTTGTAATTTATGTTTGTGTTAAACTTTAGAAACATTCCATGTCACATTCATTAAAGAACTGTTTAGTGAACATATTCTCTAAATTTCTGGTTTCTATGTTGCTTTATTCTCAAATTAGACACAAAAACATGCTGTTCCTTAACTTTTGGAGGGCAGTGTATACTAATTGTTGCAAGTTACAGTAATAATGTAAGTTCTTAATACATAACATTAATTCATATACATATGCACTGTAACAGTAAGTTTTTTAACTTTTTTATAACAGAACTGACACTGAAATTTTCTTGAAAAATTTATTAAATATACTAATAGATTATACAGATAAAAATTTACAGAGGAGTCCATCAGCAGATTCTGCATTCTCAGAAATAAAGTTCTTTCACGTGAACAAGCTGTGATTTACTCTGGTTTCTATTCTGTTTCATTATGAAAGCACGGAGGATATTGTTACGAAATGCCCAGGCGAGGTATGATAGCTTACCCGCAAAGCAGGTTTAGGGTTGCAAGAAAATGGCAAAAGAAAGCAAGGTTGCCATATTTGGCGAGAGACATTTGGCGTCAAAATTGGCGATACGCTTTAGACAGATGGAGAACATTCTGGAATGACTTCTTATCAGTTTGGCTCAGAATGTTCTCGAATGCAGGCCAAAAGCTATATAAGCCCTTCCTGAGCTCTGAGAGCAATCAATCGAGTTAGGAGCTGTATTTAGTGTTTTGAAATGAAGCTGTCTTCACCATTGTAGCCTGAAGGCTGTGTATATTTAATAAATTTTTCAAGAAACTTTGCTGATTGTTTCAGTGTACTTGCCATAGTTTTCTGACAACTGTAAATATGTTTTGGGATCTGCCCCGAGTAATACTGGCAAATAAATTGTGTTTTGATACTTCATTAAGTGCTGTCATGAATCACTCCAAATCCACGAACCCGTAGAATGTCACAATATCATATTTTGGAAAAAATATTCCCAGAAACAGTGGCATGTTGTTTTCCAAAAATTGCAAATTTGGAACTCAGCAAAGACCTTATTCACTCACAAAATAAGTTCTTGTGGCAAGAAGACATGGTCCAAATTCAGGATCGACTTAAAACTATGAAGACTATATAATTGACGATGTAGTGTAAATACTCATATTGAAAATTCAGCTCGATTATATAGTGTAATTCTATATAATTAACTATGAAGTGTAAATACTTATATTGAAAGTTCAGTTCACATTGCACAGGACTCTATCTAGGTGAGCCCACACTTTTTGATGCAAACTACTGAAGAAGTAAAGTTCAGTCCTTAAGCATTGGGCGGTAGATTTCCTCATATTTCAAACCTGGTTGAAATTTTCCCTGTATGGGATATTGACTCTAATTAGAGATATTTCAGAATATGTGCAAATTAGCAGAAGAATTGTTAGTGTCAGGTGTTGATATTTTATGGTGAGTGTCAGGTGTTTATATTAGAAGACCTAACTCTGAAATTTTGATAACTTTTATTCAAATAATTTCAAAACACTTTAAAAACAAATGATATGCTATTTAATATCATTCAAAGTTCCAACCAGTTGATTAAGGTTGGGGATAATATCTGACAGTTTCTTACCATCACTGTTCTTTTCATCAGTTCTAAAAAACACAATAGATAGTATCTAATTATAAATTAAAGTTCAGGATGTTTTCAAATATATGACATGGATATATGCTTTAAGAAATTTATCTCAACCCCCTATTTTTTATATGCTTTTCATAACAGCACCATTGATTTCAACACTATTAAACTCATTGTTAATAAAAAAGGCATAATTTTTAATTTCCTTTTAGACTCTTCTGAGCACTGAGCAACATTTCGCCTGACATCAAATTTTGAAGTTACTTTTTTTTAATAGTCTAGATTTTTTGCTAATGATAGAGTTGAATAAAGAGAATGAATGATGACAAGTTACAAATTCCTAATACATTATTTGTCAGCATTTTCTCTTGCTATGTACTGTAGCTACAGTGATATCAGCCAGTTATAAATCTAAAGTTTAAAAAAATACTACTTTTGCTTTTCCCAATACCATTAGGAAAATAACATAATAACACAACATTAATTGAGGAAAATAATGATTTTAGTTTTCAAAATCCACCTTAAATTTTACCACTTTAGCACATTGCATGGAAAAATGTACAATAATAACCTCACAAAACCCCAAAGAAAAATGTAAAATAATTTCACAACACTGTATGGAACAGTATATATTCCATTATACCCAAAGTAAACAATTCTTTGATCTAAGTCTCATCCTAAGTACTCCCTTTAACACCTATTTATATCTCTTGTGCACTTTTGCTCCATGTTTAAACTCTGCCATTTCACCTTGTGTAAAACTATTAAACAGTATTCCTTTCAAAATTTCTACCAAAAATTCCAAATGCTTCAATGACTTTTTAATGTGTTCTAATATGTTATTACTTTTAAAATCACCTTTGTAATTGCGAAGAACAGCAAATCAAAAAGTAAAGATTTAAAATCAGTTATTCTTAAGATACTGCTGTCAGTTGTATCCTAGTGCGGGAAAAAATAACTGCCTTCCACAAATAAATCAGTTTGACTCAAAGGGCTCCTGGGCTGGACTGGCCTATCCCTATCTAATTAATTTTTTTTTTATCTTTGATCATAATCGAAAATTCTGTAATAATAGCAATGTGTGTACATTGGCAGTCGATGTTAAATCTGCATTTTTTGATAATGTTGAAATCAGGGTAGCAAATATCTCTGGCACTAGGGAGCATCTAGGAAACCAGTCTGGTCATGAGAGACATGCAACAGTTTCTTCTTAACAGTCAATCAGTGGAGGAGGTAGTGGCAGTGTGCTTTATTCTCAATATTTCTGAAGGAGCTGGCAATGCAGTTGGAGTACAGAGATGAGATATATGAATACATAGAAACAATATCATACTGAAATTGTTTTCATGAAACTAGCTTTTCATATACAATTATCCAAGTTAGACAATATATATATATATATAGGATGAGATTCTAATTTTCTACTGAATTAAAATATTCATTATTTTATTTCAGACTGTAAGTGAAGACACTCTTAATTTGAAGTTTGACCATGAAGCTTGGAAGATTAAGTTATCTATTTAGATGATTACATTTTACTATTACTATTGAAACAATTATATACAAATATTTAAAATGTACAATAACTAATTTCTTAGGTAAACTTAATTTTTCTGGAGACTTACTTCTCGCTGAAGTTTCCTTTTTTCGGCTTTTAATTCATCTTCAATTGTTTCTGAGTTTTCAGCTTGAGTTTTATACCTATTTAACTGTCCTTCAAGCCTAGAAACCTGTTAAGAATATTTACAAAATCTGATTATAAGACACAAATTAATGCATACTACGCCAAAATACTACAGAGTGCATAAAATTATTTAACAATATCAGCAAACTAATACTCACACTGCTCTGCAATGTTGTTATTTCTTGTTCAGCCTTTTTTAGTCTAAATTTATAATCACTTAATTGTTTATTAGCTTCCCCTATAAAAATATAAAGATTTCAATTCATTAAAAATAATGCATTTTTGAAATAATATATTGTATCTTTAATAAATAAACAATAAAAGATCTTCCCCAGCCCATCTACATAGACAGGAAAATATTTATAATTATAACATATTTTGACAGTCAGATTTTCTTAAAATTTCACATCTTTTGGCCTTCATGAAACTACTCTGATAATATATGTATATATCTCTTTCCCTCACACCATATAAGCAGTGATATATAAAAATTTTATTCTACGAATTCAGAAAATTGACATGGTTCTTTTCATGTAAACTGTTTAGATTACAATTTAAGATTTATTGAATACTTTTGTATTTCAAATAAATTAGCTAAAAGTATTTAAAAATGTAATTTTTAACACTTTATTTTCAAGCATTAAAAAGGATTAAATGATAAAAGAGTAATTTGTTTAAAATTCTTTTTTTCATTTCATTTTTTTTCATATTGTAAGATATTAAAATTATATGTGTGAGAAAAACTTATTAGCTCTAATAATATATATATATATATATATATATAATTGAAAAGCTAGTAAGTACTGTGCTGTAAGACCTATTTGGTCTTAAAAATTTTTGCGCAATATATATATATATATATTGAAAAGCTAGTAAGTACTGTGCTGTAAGACCTATTTGGTCTTAAAAAATTTTTGCGCAATATATATATATATATATGTATGTATGTATTAAACTACGTTTTCTTTTAAAATACAAATTGGTCACAATTTCTAGGTATAGATAACCTGAAATATGGAAACAAATACTAGAACTATGAGCTGGGTTTTCATTTTAGAGATCTTTCCAACATTGAAGCAATTTATTGATACAAAAATCCTACAAACAGCTGAATGGAATACTATGATGAGTTTAGTCCTAATCCTTTAAAAATAATAGAAATTTTGTTTACAATACTTCCTAAATTACTTGTTGTTTCTATGTTAGAAATAGAAATGCAATAGACCACACAAAGATAAGAAACTCACATGTGCATAGGTCATAGTGTTCGAGCTGTTATGAGATGTTAGATGACAGGCTCTGACATTGTAAAAGCAACGATTCATTCAGTTACAACTCTACTTGACATTACAAGAATCATAACTTCATGGCCAGCATCAAGGGTCTTTAGCGATCTGCACTGTGTCTGTCACCAAAGACTCTCAATTTTAGAGAGCTGGCGACCAAAGATCTTGTTGCTCCTCTCATACTGTTTCAACTATAACGAAGGGGTAAAATGCAACCAAAAAAATTCAAAGGCATGACTAATTCATTCTGCCAACTGTTTTAGACAAGGCAAGAACTCAGAATGCTCCTAAACTCCAACACAATTGGCCCTAGCAAGTTCCTCATATAATAAGGACAATAACTAAGAATAATTGCTTCTATGTTGTTATTGTTAACAGATGTTTTCATAGATTTATATTAAATGTATTTTGTTCCATATGCAAACTTAACAAATGCAACCAGTACCAGTTATCATATGGAGTCATTCCATGAGTGCAGTGTACGGTCATCACCCCAGAGTTTACATTTTTATGGGTAATAGATATGCATAAAAATTAATAACCTACTTTTATTAGCTTCAGAACCTTGTTAAAATTAACAATTTGAGAGTCACTCTGAAATTTTTTGGTTTGATAGGAATCATAGTTTTGTAAAGTTATACTTCTGAAATTTTAGATGCATTCAAAGTAGTCTCCTCCAGCATCATTGTGGGCTGTAGGCAAATTTTCTAAAGATGAAATGCTTCAAGCCATATATTTCTTGGAATCATTGAAAAAAGTGCATTTATAACCTCATCAATCTCATCTTTGAGATGCAAATGAAGTTCACACAAGTTTTTTTTTTTTTTTTTTTTTTTTTTTTTTAATATTAAAAAATAGCCAAAAGTCACACATAGTTAGATCAGGTGAATAGGGTGGATGTTTTATCACTTTCATGTATTTTTGTTCCAGAAACTCAACTGTTACACCTACTGAATGAGAAGATGCATTGTTATGGTGGAGCATGAGTCCTCTAGCATTCACTTATTGAAGACACTTGTTGTACCAGTTAGCTATGTGACTGACTTCTGTCCTTCCAGCTTGATGGCTTTGACCAGTCCTGTACATCTGAAGAACACAGCATATATTACTTTTTTAATGGTATGTGGTCTTTTTACCATTTTTGGCATGGAATCATCTTCAAAGACACATACTATACTGTTGGAACATAAAAAAAATGGTATATATGTTTCATCACCAGTTATGATTTTAGAAATAATGCGGCGGGCATCATCTTTAAGTAACTTGAGGGTTTCTTTACTGATTCTGACACATTTCTCTTTTTGGTGCTCAGTTAAATTATAAGTTACTCAATGACAAACTAGTTTCTCATATGCAATTATTTTATGTATGGTTAAAAATACATAAAAGGTGCAGCAATTACCATTGATTAGCATTTTCTGTATGGCAGACACATTATCCTGGATTACTGCTGACAAAGGTATTCCTGTGTGTTCTTCATCCTGAAGAGAGTAGTGACCTCTGTGAAATTCTGTAAACCAGTTGATTACAGTAGCACAAGATGGGCCTTCATTTTGAAATGCTAATTGTAGACATTGAACACATTTTCTTCTTGATTTAATCCCACTTTAATATCATTGAAAATCATAGCTTGATAATGTTCTTGCATCAACTCTTTTCCTTCTGCCTAAATTTTTTTTAATGCTAAACTACTTGCAATTGGCCAATAAAAAACCGTCTTCTATGCTAAAATAGTTCGTATTTTTAAATTTAATAATTGATTTTTTCCCTGCTACTTATCTTCTGTGCATACCGCAAAAAATTAAGAGTGACCTTTGTATCAACTTTTCCCTCAAATGTTTGTAAAAAGTTCTCAATGAGAAAAGGAATTTTATGGATTTCGTTTTAAAATAATTTATTAAATAAAAACATACATTGGTAATTTATTTAATGACGCATTTTATATTTAATAAAAGCATGGTAAAATTTGTGGACTTTACAAAGTTTACAAATATTACCATGATGAATGTTATTGGCCTCAAGCTTGAGAGTTCAAAAAATTAAAAAAGTATGGAACAATTCTAAAGGAACAGTAAAACATGTATTTTGAGAGATCAAATTTGATGTATATTGGTCCTTTGAAAGGATTATAGTGATGATTATCACCTTTACAATTAAGTCTGCCTATGTCTTTCTCACTAATAATATATGCATTGTTCCTTATTAACCAGAGAGACTTAACATATTTCACCATTATCAAATAAAACATGTCAGTCTTATATCAGGCAATCATAAGGAATATTTGAAAATTTCCACTAGAGCTCACAAAAATAGCAATTTAAATTCTCTTCCTAATTTATCATGTATTAAACATTAATTTTATCATTCTAAAGATTTGAGGTCATTTACTTTTTGTAACCAGAACTGTACTTTGCATTTTATAAACTTACATTGCATAAACTTTTAAAAAGATATTATTATAGTGCACTTGATACTTTGATAATGACTCACTTTGCACTTCCATGAGTTTCATTTCAGGGCCATTTGCCCCAGATCTCATCGAAGATAATTTATCTAATTTGTATGCTTTTTGTCTTTCTTCTTCAAGGTCTAACCTCAGACGATAAATCTACAAAACCAAAAATATTTCTTTAATGTTTGTTACTCAGTTACAAAAAGACAGTTACCAAGTTACAAAGACAAATTTCTTATGAAAAGCACTCAATATGCAACATTTCTCAATTACAAAACAAAAATAAAAAAAAATAAGCACTACAGGTACAAATTCATAAATGCAGAGAGATTTGGATTCATATAAAATCACAAATTGATGAAGAAATAGTGGTTGCCGCATAAATTCAACAGAAAGTTTAAGTACCACAAATAAAATTCAATTTTCATTTTTTACGCATTTTAAGCACATACAGCATTTCATTAACAGGCCTTCTTTAAAGAAAAGCAAGTTTTTCTCTGAAATTCCATTCAATTTCTTTTTTTTTCATAGTTCAGTTCTATATTTCAATTATGCAAAGCACTATGTTTTATAAAAGCTGAACTCAAAATTTTAATTCTGGTATGTTAACAGAATATATTTGCCAATATCTCTTTTTAGCGAAAATTTCCTGCTTTGCATATTCTGTACATTTAATCCAATTTTTTTTTTACACAATTCACATATTGTTTTTCATTTTAAAATAATTCAAATAATTCTCATAAGTTCTTAGAAAAACATCTGAATTACATAATACACAAATTTTTATACATCTTAAAACAAATCTTACCTTAAATATATTTCCAAAAAAACCTGGATACAGTAAATACTTTGCACTACTCATGTTTTTTTACTAGCTTTCATTTTCCATTCCATGCCATTTTCAATGAAATTTTATAGATTAATATTTGCTTAATGCGAATGCTTTCAGTTTTCTCACTAATTTTCTAACATATTTCAAAACAGAGGAAAATAAAATAAAATAATAATAAAAAAAAAGCTTAAAAGAGGAAAGAAATATAAGAATAATAAATATAAATTTTTCAACAGATGAACTGGAAAAGAACCATTGAAAAGCCACACAGGGATTAATATTTCAGCTTATGATAAAAAAAATGAAAGCAGTAGTAAAAAATTTAAATACCTCATCTAATAATTCTTGTTTTTCCTCTGCAAGTTTTTTCAACCTCACATCTTCAGAAAAAAAAAGAAAAAAAAAAGAGTCAACACAATTATAATGACAGAATATATCATGTAGTTTAATTATTAAAGAAAAAAAGTCAAACTTCAAAATCTTGCTTATTAATTAGATTAATAATTTAACTAAAGAAATATTTACTTCTTTTGAAGAAGATTGTATGAATTTAATGAAGCATATTAACTAAATATGAACATAAAGATAGATGGAATATTCTTCCAGAAACTCCAACATTTAAATTTCCTGTGTGAAATATGATAGGGTGAGCAAAGAAGAGAAACATGACTAGTTTTATGAAATAAAGGAGATATTCACTAGTTATACATTGCAGTAGATTCATCATTACCTGGGGTAATACTAGGAATGGCAATTATGGCAAACCCAAAATCATGGTTAATCTAACAGCAATTGAAAAACGAAGGAAAGATGAATAATCTGTAGTATAATTAGCAGAAAGAACTATTAATAATTTACCTGTATCTTTTAAACCTTTTAATTTTAATAAATAAATACCAAATAAACATATTCACAATATGTTTAAATTAAGAATCGTTCGTTTAAATTAAGAATACACTTCAAAACAAGTCAACAAGTTTTTATTTATAGTATCACTTTCAATTTTGAAAAATCAAAAAGTTAACAAGAAACAGAAGTCAAAATGGCAGTCTTGCAAATGAATTTTCAGTGTGTATGTGGTGGTGGTGGTGGGGGAAGGCATGAAAACTCGAATCACTTAAAAAAGTGCTGTGGATCTACTGAAAATGCCCTTATGATTCAACTTAGTGACAGTGAGCACAGTGTGACAAGGAATATTATCATGGTGCACTATTCAAGTGCTTTGAATTTATCATTACATGCTAATAACATTTTTTGAAGTCTTCTGAGAATCTATTAGTATTCATTCACAATTTGTTTTTGAGCCACAAGTTCTTTGTGAATAATCTTCTGACTGTCAATAAAGCAAGGTGACTCTGAATTTGGATTTACTGATCCTCGTTTTTCAGAAGCAAGATGAGTGCCTGTGTGCCATTCCTAGCTTTGCCATTTCATTTCTGGATCATATTAGGAAATCCAATATACAAGTTGTTAGTGTCTTAAAGGAATTTCTGTTACTTTAAGTGCATTCTATATAAAGCAAACACACATCTTCCCCCTTTAATTATCTGTCTGCTTAAATATGGGTAGTATTCACTTTCCACATTTCCTATGTTAAAAATTTTGTTCATTGTGAAATGATTATTTGATTACATTAGATTTCTGAAATCTCACTACATTTTTTTTTTCCCATTATGAACCTTCCAGAAGACGACTCTTATCTTCAAGGACTTCATGGTCTTGGAAAAGGTTTTGCACGATCTGAAACCTTATGCCCTTAATAAAGCATGCCTGTTTCACCTTAACTAAAGTATCAATTTCCCCGAATTTCAAAACACCATTGTTTCAATATTATGATATAATGCAATATGAAACATTTAAGAAACACACACTGAATGGACACATGCTTATGCATAGGGTAGAAACTTGTTTAGGATATCAAAAAATGAGAATGGACATCTTTCAAAGGATTTGCTGCAAAGCTACCAGTTCCTGCACAGAATGAGCAGTCTCACACTTTTTTTTTTTTTTTTGCAACTTATAACAGACAGCTAATCAAATTTAACATAAAATTAAATGCTCACTATACACATATCTGTACTTTTCTACAATAAACTATAGCCAAGCATTAATACTTCAACTAAATAAGAGCATTAAAAATAAATTTTGACCCGAATTTCACATTTAGTTCTTAGAATGAGTTACCTAATGATCCTGATCCAGCTTGTTTTAGTATGTCTGCTCCTTCTTGAGAAACCAATGCCATTTTGGCAATTTTTTTTTTCCTTTCAGATTCAGTTTTCTTTTTACTATCACCTTCATATTCATCATCATCATCATCTCTCACTTCTTCCTCCTCCCCACCAACTAAAACTAAACCATGTTCCTAAAATAAATAAATAAATAAATAAAATAAAATAGGCATATTATTTAAAAAGTTTGCATCTTAAATAACCTGATTTCAGTTTAAAAAATGAATTAAATAATGTAGGAGGTTATCTAACTTAACAAATCTGATCAAATGACAGTAAAAGCATGCAGTTCTGAATTTTCATGTGTCTTCTTTAAAAAAAATTCAGTCAGAAAATTATTCATTATCTTACTAAAGATTAAAAAATTAGCCTATAATATGCAAAACCAGATGATGCACAAGACAAAAGTGTACAAGAAAGTTGCCCTCAAAATTTGTTTCTCCAAACCTAAGAAATGTCTGTGCTTATGAATTAAAAAAAAGACTGGGGCAGAGTCGTAGCTAGGGTTTTCAGCACCCAGGGACAACTGAAGATTTCGTGCCCCCCTACTGCTTGCTAAGGATGGAAAACATTTAATTCTAAAATGTCGTAACATTAGTTTGGTGTCCCTTTTTCTGCGCCCGGAGACAGATGTTCCCCCTTGCCCCCCTCTAGCTACGCCCCTGCTCTGGGGAAAAAAAAAAGCCTGTCCTCTCTAAGAAATAAACAGCTAGAAATAAGTAGGGAAACATTAAAAGAAAGTAAACAACTATTCATTTAGCTGAAATGGTTATTTTTGTTTTTTTGGTTGTGTCTTTTGTTATGTAGTTCCACTTTTCAGTTTAGTCTGTTGGATCAACTGAAACGATGATGTCAAAAGTAATACCAAGAAAAGCAACACCAAGAAAGAAATCACTAATGCTAAGCAAAAGGTAAAAACTTTTGAAATTTATTGCAATAAAAACATTAATTTATATGCACGTATCTGATGTTATACCAAAAATCAAAATAAGGTTTTAAGTACAGTCAAAAGTCATTAATTCGGACACCCATAATCCGGAATGATCTATAATCCGGACCTCAAAGCTAAAAACTTTCTGCGCATGTGCTGCGTTAAAACATGTGCATAGGTGTTTACGCGTGCGCGTAAGACCTTTTACCACTGTGCATATGCGTGTGCGCAAGCACAGAATACGTTTTTCGCGTGCACGTTTTATGTATAACGAACGGCATAAGCTAAAATTATCTAATTATCTATTTCAGTTAATGTTGATGATTGCGTTGTTCCTTAATCTTCGAATTGGATCCGGATTATTTTTTTTGCAGACTGTAAGAGCAATACTTATAAAAGTAAACTTGAACTTTCGATTATGTCAAATAGAATTTCCGATTCTGGAGCTCCCAAAGGATCGTACAAAACGAAAGTATGTTTCGATGTCCATCAAACAAAAAGTGAAATTGCTGCAAAAAAATGGATAAAGACATGAAGAATGTGACAGAGAGGTTAGTGAAAAACGAAAAAAATTTCGATTGACAAGTTAGTCGGTATTCTCGACACAGCAATTAACGGGACTTGAACAGCGAAACTTTGTAACTGAACAAAAAAATTGTGTCTGTTTATAGAATTAAAGAGAAAGTATTATCACATAAAACGAAGCAACTTAAAACAACTTACATTGAAAGAAATGTTTAATAAAGTAAACAAATAAATATTAAGCTTTTTTTTTGTAAATTTTGATACCCTTTAGATCATAATTGTTCTTTATTTCATAAATTAAGGTTTCATATTTTTAATTTTAGAATTCCTGCATGCCATCTTTTGAGATTTAAACTGATGATCTATAATCCGGAAAAATCGATAATTCCGAATCACCAAAGTCCCGACGAGTCCGGATTAATGACTTTTGACTGTAGTGGACTTTGAAAAATGAACTACTTATTCTAATGATCTGCAATACCATTTTTATGTTGATCTCAGGAATTAAAATGATTAAGATTATGGAATTTTTAAGAATTAAAAAATAATCATAATTATGAAGTAAAGCAAAGAATTAAATTAAATGCGTATGTAAGAAGAAAGCAAATGTTACTAAATGCCAGAAACAGTACATGATTCTGATTCCAGTAATACACTTAAGTCCAATATCTTCTTTATCTATTGACACATAACCAATGAAGAAAAACTTAATAAAAACCAAATTATCCTATAAGAAGCCACCTTAAAAATTTAAATCAAATTATCAAAAATGAATAGGAAGTATTTCTGCAGGAAAAAATTAAAAGTATACATTAAAATACTATAAGATATCCTAATGTCTACCAGATTAATAAGAGTATAATTTACACTACGCAAAAAAAAGGGGGGACAGTTCTACAGGGGTTGGACAAAAATATGGAAACACCTTTAAAAAAACATGTTTCTTTACTTAATATGGTGTGGGAAACCCGTTGGCATCCAAAACAGCTTGCAGTCTTTTCGGAATGGATAAATACAGTTCCTGTATTTTTGCCAAGGGAATATTATACCATTCTTCCTGCAAAACGGTGGCAAGTTCAAATAACAATGCTGGCGGTGGATAATGAGAACGCATTTTCCATTCCAATGTAGACCACAAAGGTTCGATAATATTCAGGTCTGGTGACTGTGGTGGCCAGGGGAGATGGGACAACTCATCCTCGTGCTCAGAAAACCAGTCCTGGACAATGTGAGCTGTGTGAACAGGGGCTTTGTCATCTTGGAAGACACCATCACCATCGGAGAACAAAGTTTGTACCATGGGATGAACTTGATCGACCAAAATGTTCACATAAGTCTTGGCAGTCATGTGCCCTGACACAGTTATCATGGGGCTAGCAGAGAACCACGATATGGCTGCCCAAACCATAACAGAACCCCCGCCATGTTTCACTCTTGGCAACAAGCAGTCTGTATTATAAGCTTGAGATGGCGTTCTCCAGACGTAAACTCGGCCAGAAGTGGGAAACAATGTGAAAAATACTCGTCAGACCATATTACTCGCTTCCACTGCTCTATAGTCCAGGCTTTATGACTTAAACACCACCTTTTCCTGTTACGGGCATTAGCATCACTGATGAGTGGCTTCTCAATTGCAGCATGGCCAGCAATTCCCTGTTTATGAAGCTCCCTTCTAATTGTTTCGGTACTCGCAGGGTTCGGTAACACAATATTCATTTCAGCAGTAACTTTTGCAGCTGTGGTCTTCTTATTTTTCATCACAATTGCCCTTAATGATCGTCTGTCACGATCACTCAGGACACACTTTTGTCCGCGCTGTGATTTAGCAGATGATGTTTTTCCGCTTTTCAAATATGCGGAATAAATCTTCGATACAGTACCTCTTGAAACACTAAACACCTCGCCTCCCTTGCTTACGGAAGCACCTACCATACGTGCTCCAACAATTTGCCCACGTTCGAAGTCTGTTAACTCTGACATAATGCAATGACAACCTCACATAACAGTACTCCGACAACAACTGAACTGTTTAGCACATTTAAGAAGTTGTATAGGTGGCGTCAGTAGTCAAAAACGCCAGCGCCACCTACATATTTCATTAAAATCAATCTTTCTTTTCAAACATGCATTTCACAAGGTGTTTCCATATTTTTGTCCATCCACTGTATATCTAAGGGAGACTCTATATATTATATTACCAGGTATTTCTCTCGCCCTCCTGGAGTAGAAGTTCTGCACGCTGCGCCGGTATCCAGAGGTCCGTGGTTCGATTGCGACGAACGCGGTTGCTATTTTTCATCTTTTCTGCTACCAAAAATATACCTAATATCTCTACAGTGGTGCCCAAACTAAAATGGTGTTGTGGATGATGATTCTTCACACCCAAGATTTGGTGATTGGGTGCCTTAAAAACCCCAGTCGCACTTTAAAAGGGAGGTATATAAGGTATTTCTCCCACTTTCCCAACGTGCCTTCGTGGTGTAGTGGTTCTGCATGCTGGGCAGGTATTTCAGAGGTCTGTGGTTTGATTCCCGGTGAAGGTGTTTGCTAATTTTTCATCTCTTCTGCTTCTAAAAAATCCTAATGTCTCTAAAACATTTTCTATATAGCACTGCTCTAAAATAACAAATATGACTTTTTCTGAAATAACATACCATTTTTTTACATATTTCGATTCTATGACTCAAATTATGCCTAAATATTAAATTTTGTAAAATTTGGAGCAAAATTTACGGAGAAATTCAAATATTTAATCTTGGCACTTTTTTTCAGTTTGTGCCAAGAAGAGTTCACCTTATCTAATTATCCTGGCTTAGGCAGCCTTTGCTACTTTCACTGCGAAACTTGGTAAATTGCCCTAGGGCTTGGTTTTATTAAGAATACAAGGGAGATACACCTCGCCTAAAAAGGCGAAGCACGATCAAATACTCGAATGGTATGTGATTTTGAAGAACTTTACATGAGAAAATTTGCTTCAGTTCATGAGAGCTTAGCGGCGAGCCGTCCGAGCTGGGAATAACTTCAGGGTGACATGGAGTAGTTGATTCGTCAAGGCCAGTCACGTGAGTGGTCACCCACCCAAGTACTGACTCCGAGAGAAACCGCTTGAAAAAGAAGTTTTCGTTTAAGCAAAGTTTTGAAAGTACTGGGCTTTCTGCAGGTGAAACTACTTAATTTTCTGATTCAGCAACTTGCATAGGGTATTGGAATATCTGAAATCCTATTTTTAGCTTCTCTGTGGTGTTTTTTGCACTTCTTAATTTTAGAATTGATGACATTAAATTTTGAATGTGTACGATGATTCCGGCATCCTGAGAAGTTGATTGCAGGTTTTGAAAAGCTGTGTTTAGGTTATCTTCAGTTAATTTTTTCTGTAAGGTATTACTATAGCTTGATTTCTTAGTTGTAGACGTAACATTAGGTTGTGTCAAATTCAGGAGTGGGAAGTTATCAGCGTTATTTTCGGGCATCTGAGATCTTGGGATATTTTGAGCTTTCTGCGGAGGTTTCTTTGCGGTGTTTCTTCTGTTTATTTCTGCCATTCTATTTTAAAATTCTATACATCCAGTATAGGAACTAATGTGGTTTTGTTTACAGAAGACACATTTAGGTTGATCAGTTATCTTGAGATTACATTCGTTCGTTCTGTGATTTTGGCCGCATTTGCAGCAACGTATG